CTAGGACATTTCTTGGGTCAACATTCCTCCGGAAAGGAATGGTTTCCAGTTTTAACGATCGTTCGATAACGTTTAGTTCTGGGATCGGGCTACTACCTAGGTCAATATTTTCACTTAGCAGAGGGGGATCATTGTTTAACTTGTTAGCAAGCATGACAGCTTAGGGTGTATATTGTTTAAGACTATAATATCCTTTAACTTGACTGTACAGGGAATCTCCTCTGTGGATTAACGTGAATCTGATACATACGTGAACATCATGGGGTAAAATAGTATGCAAAAATCGGTTTTCCAAAATGACTTTTCGGACTTTTTGCTAGCATGATTTGTTAAAACATTTTTATGAACCTTTCCCATAGAGTTAGATAAGCTATAAACAGTGAACACTTGAATTTTGCATTTACCATCATAATATTACGGTTAATAATAAACGATCTGGAGAGCTCAGGGTGTTGAATCTGCATTTGTGCATTTGTAAAAGTTTCCCGGGTCTTAAAAAGCACGTCCGCGCCACCAAATTATTAGCCGACAGAAGTCTATGCTTTTATTTTTCGGACGGGTACCCTTCAGGAATATTTACATAAAAACCTACTTAGAATGTAGAAACCATTCATAAACTTCAGTGGCAATAGACGCAATTAAGTTACCGACTCTTAGATTTCAGTGCATCGAGTTCATAGATGGTCCAGAATCTACATTAGAGGTGTTTACCTTCTTATGATTGATTCCAAGACACCCCTTTGAGTCTTAATATATAGTAAATCTGTTTCCATTGAGGGTCTTTTAAGTAAGAGCTCGACTGCCGGGCCAATCGTCTCAGCATGACTTGACTTCAGTATTTTTCTCAGTAACAGGTGATGTAGGATTACTGATGTGATATTTTTGTCGTGATGTTGACCTAGTTTTAGTAGCTGAAACTTCTAAAGTAATGTGGAGAACAACGATACTGAAAATAGATTAAATAGAAAAAATGAGGTCTGAACAGGCGTGCACTTGTTCTGATAAGTAACCTCTCCATTTATATATAGTATGAACAAATACGAAGAGAATATGACAAGAATCAGTATGTAGCAAGCGAACTCGCTTGAAATGAAATACCGACTGACGTCAAAAACGCTGGAAAATGTTACCACACAGATCCATTTGGAGTCGCTGAATGAAGAGCTCAGTGAACTCTTGCCAAGATCGAAGGAAGATGCGGGTTTGTTTTGGGCGAAATTAATAGATATTGGGAACTAATTAAATAAATAAATAAATAAATTGTATATTCCTCGACGATGCGAGAAGCTGTTCTCTATAAGGAACAGATCAAATAATGGTACAACTTTTCCATGACATTTCATCAATATATTTTCAGAGAAAAACGTGGATGCAATTGCAAATTATGTTACACAGAGTAATCAGAATCGTTCTGCTATTTCTACCTGCCACTGAATCAGGATTCTTTACAATCACATGATAGATATTTGGGCCGAGAGAAAAAAAATGTAATGAAAGGGGCTGTTGTCCGAAATGTTATGTGTATGTGTTTCAGAAATTTATTCAGACACCATGGATACCGTTTTCGAATGCGTTATCTAGGGACTGTGATGTCCCGAACATCTTAATCACGTTTTGGACGGTTAAATGCTTACTAATAGCAAGCTTAAAATTGCAAAGAGTATAGCATGTTCTGATATCACTTGGAAGTTTGTTCCGATAAGTCAGAGGTACTGTCTGCAATCGGAACACTAGACCGCGATCGGGCAGTTGAAATAAATGGAGCAGGCAGTGTTCCTGCAGCCGGATAATGGATTGGACATTGTAGTAATGAACAAGCATGAATACATTTCGAAGATTGAGTCCATTCGGGGAGAAAAGCAGAATTTCCAGGTAGGCAAAACAACGGATAACAACACCCTGGTGGAGAGGCATGTGTCAAGGAAGCTCCAGATCCTCCTGCTACATGATTACATCAATGTGTCGCAGTACAGGCAATTAGAACCGACTGGGACACAGATACCTAGAATGAGAGACGCTCCCGAGTTACACAAAGCAGGATACCCAGTACGTCCGATTTTAAGCATCAACAATTTGTCATATTATTACGTCCCGCGGTGGTATGCGAAACTTTCAGATCCGGTAGGTAAACACCTCGCTACGTATTGCCTGAAAGAATCCTTTGAACTGGCCGAAACGCTGGAATAATTGTCATTGAGTGCACAGCTCATATACGCAGTTGACGTGGACTCCTTATTCACCAACATGCATTTACTTGAGAAGATCGATAATTTACGTGCTTTTATCCTCAGCCAGATATGTCAGTGGACCTGCCAGTGGAGTATTTAAAGGATATGATTCTATTGTGCACCGAGAACATACGGTTTGAGTTTGAGGGGACCGCATAAAAACAGCTGGACGGGGTCGCATTGGGCAGCGACTGGGACCAGTTTTAGGCGACATCTTCCTCGGCTTGATATGAAGGCAGGTTGCTGCAATAAGTATTGAATCGAAATTCTACGGAGGCTCTGTGGATGACATTTTATACTTCACCCACGGAGAATATGTTACCCAGCTGCTGACCATCCTGAATTCGATTCACCCTAATCTGTCGGTGTTCCATGAAGTGGAACAAAACAGTTGCCTGGAGTTTTTGGATATACTCATTAGGAGATGGACTGAAGGTACATCGCAGGGCACTGTTCCCCGCAAATAGATTTATAGTGGACAGTATCTTCATTTTTCAAGTTTCACCCCGATCGCATACAAACGCGGCTCAGTGAAAACTCGCTTCTACCAAGATAGACGCATATGCAGCTCCGAAACGGTAAAAGCCGAAGAAGAAATTCTACGCAATATCTTAATTTCTATGGATATCCTGCGAAGTTTATTCAAATATACTGCAGACCTCCTAGCGTTAAAACACCGGTGTTGAGGGCTGAGAAAATTGATGTTTATTTGTTCTTGTCTTTCAAGGAGGACCGTGTGGCAAATGCTATCGGATGTAAGATCCTGTCCGCCCTAACGCGCATCTACACGACAGCCCAGTTGCGACTCAAGCATACAACATGAGGACTTGTTCTTCGTAACGGTCAGAGCATCTCGTCGGTTAGTTCGGCCTCTCATGTATTTTATCAGTTCACCTGCGGTTGCGGTGACATTTACATAGGCAGTGTAAACCGTCAGTTAGCTCAGAGGATATCTGAACATTTGCCAAAGTGGTTAGGACAAGTGATTTTGCAACAACATGGGACTGATCTGAGAAGTAATTGGAGCCAGGCATCGTCTATCATCAAGCTCTTCATGTTAACCCGTCATCAAGTGAACCCTGAGACAACGTTCCAAGTGTCATTACGCACCAGAAACCCGATAATTCTGACAATTAGTGGGGCGTTGTTAATTAAGGCTCATCAACCTGTGCTATGTGCACCGAAACCCTTGTGGCAATCAATTCGGTTGTCATAGTCTTGACTAAGGCATTCTGATTAGTGTTGTTTATTTCTCCAGATATATAGTCGGTTGTGTGTTTCTACTCGAATTGTGTTTACGACTAAAATGAACAACTGAAATATTGACATGTCGCATCCGCTGGCTTCTCTTTGCCTTGAAGAAATTTCTTAAGATACAAAACGAGATTTTTTAACTACAGGTGATTGAACACGACAACAGGAGCAGTACGAGTAGAGCGATAATCTCGCACCATCTGTGAATGCCGAATTTTTGTTGTTTAGCTCTCGTGTACTGGTTTTTTGGTCATATTTTTTGTCTCGGTCGATCTTGTGCATTCAGTTGTGTTCGCGTTGTGCCCCGGTGAGTCACTCGCTCGTGTGGTTGACACGCCGACGCGCGGTTATCGATCTGGCCGGTAAGTAGATGGGCGGCCGACCGTCACTGCATACCACGTAGGGTGAAGCAGAACAAATTGACTTGGAAAAAAAAAAAGCTAATTAGGTCAGGATCGTTTTGGCATGAGGTAGACAGGGAGAGGGCTGAGAGATAGGCGACGGGGGAGTGGAGAGGTGTGGAACGTGAGAGGGAATGAGTCCAAAAGGAGGGGGGGGGAGGGATTTGAGGGAACATGTAGGAAAAAAGGAGAAAAAGTGAAGGGCAAGAGGGCTGCAGAAGGGCTGGTATATAGAAGGCAAGGAAAAGAGAAAGGAAATATGGGGGAGAGAGGGGAGAGGGGATAGTGGGGCAGTGAAGAGGCGTGGATGAAGGAGAGGCTTCTTCGGCTGTGTACGCACACCGCCTTTAGAAGAGAGGTGTGAGGCGGGCGTGTACGTTGGTGGTGCGTTAAAGATCACCCCCCCGCCACTTACCCTTTGCTTGCTCCGCTTCTCCCTTATTCTTCCCTTTTTCCTTATTTCCCACTGAGACTAACTCCTTTCTACCGGAGAGCCAGCTCTATATAACCTTCTCCTGCCCTGTCTTCCCTGTTCTTTTCACCTCTCTCCACCCAGCTAAATTTACCACAGATCCATCCATTCTCCCCCCTGAATCGAGCATCACAAGGAAACAAACCCGGCTCCTCTCGCTCCGAAGACCAACCCTACATCCTTCCTTAATTCTCTCCCCCCTCTCTCTCCTCTCTCTCCTCCCTCTCCCCTCCTCCTCTCTCTCCCTCCCTCTCCTCCTCTCTTCTCTTCCACTTCCTCCTCCTCCTCTCTTCTCTCTCCTCCTCTCTCCCCTTCTTCTCTCCTTCTCCCCTCTCTCTCCCCATTCCTCTTCCTGCTATCTCTCTTCTCTCCTCTCTCTCTCGCTTCTCCCCGTCCTCCTGTCCCTCCTTCTATCTCCTCCATCCTCCCGCTCGCCTCTCTTCTCACACTTCCTCTCGCTCCTTCCCCTCCTTTCCTCTCCTCCACGTCATCTCTCCACCCTCTCTCTCCTCTCCCTTTCCCTTCTCCGCTCCACTCCCTGGGGGGGCCTCTCCTTCCCCCTCTCCTCTCCCCCCCACCCCCTCCCCCTTCTCCCCTCCTCTCTCCTCTCTCTCTCCTCCTTCCTCCTCTCTCGTCTCCTTTCTCTCATTCCTTCCTTCTTTCTCCCTCCTTCTCCCTCTCCCCCCTCCCCCCCCCTCCCCCCTCCCCCCCTCCCCTCCCCCCCTCCCCCCCCCCCCCCCCCCCCCCCCTCCCCCCCCCCCCCTCCCCCCCCCCTCCCCCCCCCCCCCCCCCCCCCCCCCCCCCCCCCCCCCCCCCCCCCCCCCCCCCCCCCCCCTCCCCCCCCCCCCCCCCCCCCCCTCCCCCCCCCCCCCCCCCCCCCCCCCCCCCCCCCCCCCCCTCCCCCCCCCCCCCCCCCCCCCTCCCCCCCCCCCTCCCCCCCCCCCCCCCCCTCCCCCCCCCCCCCCCCCCCCCCCCCCCCCCCCCTCCCCCCCTCCCCCCCCCCCCCCCCTCCCCCCCCCCCCCCCCCCCCCCCCCTCCCCCCTCCCCCCCCCCCTCCCCCCCCCCCCCCCCCCCCCCCCCCCCCCCCCCCCCCTCCCCCCCCCCCCCCCCCCCCCTCCCCCCCCCCCCCCCCCTCCCCCCCCCCCCTCCCCCCCCCCCCCCCCCCCCCCCCCCCCCCCCCCCCCCTCCCCCCCTTCCCCCCCCCCTCCTCCCCCCCCCCCCCCCCCCCCCCCCCCCTCCTCCCCTCCCCCCACCCCCCCCCCCCTCCTCCCCCCCCCCCCCCCCCCCCCCCCCCCCCCCCCCCCCCCCCCCCTCCCCCTCCCCTCCCCCCCCCCCCCCCCCCCCTCCCCCCTCCTCCCCCCCCCCCCCCCCCCCCCCCCCTCCCCCCCCCCCCTCCCCCTCCCCTCCCTCCCTCTTCCTCCCCCCCCCCCTCTGCCCCCCCCCCCTCCCTCTCCTCTCCCCCTCCCCCCCCCCTCCTCCCCCCCCCCCCTCCCCCCCTCCTCCTTCCTCCCCCCCCCCCCTCCCCCCCCCCTCCCCCCCCCCCCCCCCCCCCCCCCCCCCCCCTAAAGCGCAGTACATTATCACTACCCCTCTCTCGCTAAGCGTACTCAGCAGCACGTCCACTACATGGCATAATTACTACCATCATAGGACCACTATATCTTCATAGCGACCGCATGAAGTTAGACAAAACAAGAAACATGAAGCAAAATGAGATACTAGAGTACACGACTAAGAACACAAGAACTCGAACTACTCACAGTATATAATACACAGGAACAGACAAGCTTGAAATGAAACAAGAATCACAAACGACTAGACTTAGTACAGCACTAATACGCGAAGCACGACATAGACGTAGAGAGCTACCTATAGCCAATACTCCAAGAAGCTAGCAGCGACAAAGAGAACCCTTCAGCTGTACATGGAGGGCTCTCGCCCTCTCAAGCGCACGAACACCGATGAAGCAGCAGAAGAGTACTCTGATGAAGAAGACGGAGAACTCATAGCTTTTCATCAACCATCTAGTTGAATCCCGCAAGCAAGAACATAGATAGAGTCGCCAAACGGTCATCAACCACATCCCCTCCCACGCTTAATGGACCCCGACGCTCCCCCCACTCACGAATCGCATGGCACTAGCCAAAGCAACATCATAAGCGACAGCCCGTGATCAAACGACACCATAACGCGGCATCAGCGAAGCGGCTGGACAAGTATGGATTTCCACTGGAGAGACTTTGCGACCACGGCAGACCCAGGCGGGACAGTGCACACACAGAATAGATCCCCAGACACAACAGGCACGAAGGACGGAGAGAAGAGAAGAGAGCAAGAAACAAGAAAGGAAGAGGATGAAGGCACAAGGCAACAAGGAAAGGGGAGAAAAAGGGAGGATGAGAAGCTAGTGGATAGGCAGAAGAACCCCTACCCCTCCCCCCCCCCCACCGCTCTCCCCTCAACAACAACCAAAACACGAGAAACCTACACATCGCGAATACGTAAAAGACGAAAACCGTTGATCAGCCGAACCACCCCGAAACACTACTCCCCCCCTCCCCCTCTTTGATGCGCACTGCAACATATAGCCCACTCGTCCGTTTCCCCCCATCACAAAAACAGTTTCAACACCCAGATTTCAGACTACTCCATAGTAGCAATACCCAAACAGTTCATCTCCACAAATTCTGTCATTCTGAAACAACCCATAAACAACCTCACTTCCCCAAGTGTTTAGACAAAATTATCTCTATCTTGAAAGAAAACAACAGGCATGACCAACCAATGCGTACTGTAGAGGAGAAAAGGTATAATGACGAAGTGTAATCTCATCGTGCGCTCGTATGAATCAATATTGCTGGCGTCATAAGGAATAAGTAGCTGAGGGGTCGGAAGATAAGCTATAGCATAGTATCTGGTTTGAGAGAGTTTTCCTCATGATCCCGGCTTACTCTATACCGGAGT